AAAAAATATATTGTACACTTAAAACTAATATTACACTGCATGTGAACTAACTAGAATTTAAATAAAAACTAAAAAAGAGAGAGAGATTCTGGTACACATTCCTTCCTCCAAACTTCCTCCCCCATCCTCCACCATTAATACAGGCTTTCTTATTTGGTATAAGTAAAAGAAGGAGGGAGAAGAGCAACCATCTTCCAAGTCGGGGAGGAACCGTATTCCAATCATTCCTCTCTCTTTCTCCTCCCGCCTCCCTCCCTCCTAGAAGTAGTGTTGAGTTTCCATTCAGTGATAAAAATTTACAAACTCTTAAATACCGAAATTACAGATGCCCCTCTCTGCTAATATCTTCCAAGTCCTGACTTCAAAAAAGATCCTGACAAAATTACGATTCTCTTTATTGTATTAGGAGATATGTATAAAATACATATCATCATCTTATTAACCTTTTTTTATCGAACACTAAATTTCACTGCCATATGGCAAGTTGTTTATTATAGAAAGAACTGGCTTCTATTTCAAATGAGGTTCCAGAGTGCTGTTCCAGTCTGCACAGTATAGAATACATGTACGCTCGCCCCCACCCCCCACACACACACATAAAATGTAGTACAACTCAAGGCCAAAACAAGAAGGTAAGCGCCAAGCTTGGGACTGAGAGGCAGAAAGGGTGAGGACATGAATGAAGGAAACAAAAGAGAAGAGAAAGATGAAAAGGATCCTGCCCTGGAGAATCTCAAAAGAGGAGAAAGAGAGCACAGAAAAAAATGGTGAAGGAAGGAGGGGATGAGGGAACGGCACACGGTGGTACTAAGGGCAACAGAATAAACAACATAAATGAAGGAATAAGCCAGCAGAAAAACCACAAACTGTAAATCCTACAAGACCAAGTCAATTCAAAGGAGAAAATGTTACAAATAGCAAAACAGATGGTGGAATGGAGGAGAGAGCCTCCTGCAACACAGGAAACAAGCTTCCTTTCCCATCACCACCAGCTCCGATCCCAGTGCCTTCCTGCCACCTGTCCCTTGTCCCCCCTCCCCCACCCCATCCCCGAAGGCTTCCCTGGCTCCGAAGCAAGGAGAATGTCTCCCACTGGACTTCGGACAGAGGGCCCATGTCTCCCTCATGGCACTTAACACACCCTAGTGTAACGAGCTACTTCCTTGTCAGGCTCCCTGATATTTGGTGAATTCCTGAAAGCCAGGGGCCACATCTTAATATCTGTACCTCCACAACCCAGGACGGTACCTGGAAATAACAGATGCTCAATAAGTATTTTTAAAATGTAGAACAAATTCATGAAACCGGATCTACCACAAAGTTACCCAGATAGCAGAGGCATCAGAGGTAAAGAGAGAGAAGACAGCTCAGGCTCAGCTGGGACTCCTACTACGTCCCAGCACCAAATCCCGCTCCTGCTGCCCACGGCAACAAGAAGCCATAGAAACATTTCTTCTCAGAGAAATGAATGTCCACCCAGAAAGACTGGCTCTAATTCTCCGCAGATCCGGGTTCCAATCCCGTGCTGACCTCACCCTGCTGTTATGAGTCTGGAGACTGACTGCTTTGCAAAATCAGATGTGTGCTCCTTCTCCAGGAACATGAACTTACTCTGAATCTTTAAGTAAACTCCTCAAGTTGTCAAGATACTTGTTGTATGATCTTTTTTTTTTCTCCTTTGCACACAGCAAAGGCTCCTCCCTGGATCACGTCTTCCCAGTGTTTTGATTTCAACGCCCCACGCCCCTCCCTCTGCCTGCCAAGAGGACAGCAGTCTCCCCATAGCCTGGCCCAGCCTTGTTTAAACACACAACAACTCTGACAGTGGGTTGAAGGGGAAGCTCCGGTGCCTGCCAGTCCTGATGCTCCTACTGTCCCCCCTTCAGGTACCCGGCACCTGGAACTCTCCAGGAGCTGCGCTCACCTCTTCCTCACAGGAGGAAATACAGTCTGACCAAGCCCAACCCTTTACCGCCTCCTCCCTGTGAAAACCACAACTAGAGTACTATCGGTCAGAGTCACTAGCCATTTTTCAGAATTTTCTGGGGGGACCAAGGAATAGGTGACCCTAAGATGTCTGACAGTTCAAGATCCGTTATAGACAAAAGGTGATTAACAGAATAAGCACATTTCTGAAAACTTCTTATCCAAACAAACTATATACAGTTGACCCTTGAACAACATGAGGGTTAGGGGCACTGAACCCCATGCAGTCGAAAATCCACATACAACTTCTGACTCCCCAAAAACTTAAACTACGAATACTCTACTGTTGACAGGAAGCCTTACCGATAACGGTCAATTAACACATATTTTTTTTAAAGATTTTATTTATTTATTTGACAGATAGAGACATAGCGAGAGAGGGAACACAAGCAAGGGGAGTGGGAGAGGGAGAAGCAGGCTCCCGCTGAACAGGGAGCCCGATGCGGGGCTCGATGCGGGGCTTGATCCCAGGACCCTGGGACCATGACCTGAGCCGAAGGCAGACACCTAATGACTGAGCCACGCAGGCGCCCCAGATTAACACCTATTTTGTATGCTGTATGTACTATGTACTGTGTTCTTACAATAAAGTAAGCTAGAGAAAATGAAATGTTATTAAGAAAACCAAAAGAGAAAATACGTTTAGAGTACTGTACGGTATCAAAAAAAGTCCACATACAAGTGGACCCATGCAGTTCAACCTATGTTGTTCAAGGATCAATGTTATCTTCATAGAATCAATATGTATATGTGTATATATATATATATATATATATATTCCAATTTTAGTTTGAAAAAGCATTGATTACACCAACATTATAATAATCAGGGAAGCTCATGTTTGAGTTAAAGGATTACTACTAATCCTTACAAAGTACAACAGAAGTTCCTCTTGTGTTGGAGGACAGCAGGAGACTCCTGGTTCCCGGAGACCAAATCTGCCTTGGTCTACAAAGAGCGGCTGTGCACTGTGCTCTCATCCCATACTGTACCTTCCCCGGGGGAGTTCAGGAATGAGCAGTTCCTAAGACGCTGAGAATGCAGCAGGCCCTAAAGTCTGCGCCAGCAAGGAGATGAGAGAGAGATGTTCACTCTAAAGCACTAAGCACATACCTGGATATCGGTCCTGCCAACACAGCCTCCCCACTTTCCGGCTTCGCCCTCTAGACGCCTAAGAGAAAGACAGCTTCTAAAAGTCACATCTTGAACATCACTCCTTCTGACCCAAGTGCTCATGCATCTTGTCTCCATTATGCATGGTTAGCATAGCCCCTGGGTCTCGCACACACCACTGACAGACAGAAGTTGTCACGCTGCTTGATTGCTGCTTCTTCAAAAGGTGAATCCTTCTGGTGGTGTGGCCCGTATTCCCAGCAGGAGTCCTCTTTCTAGGGCTGGTTCCAAAAGTCAGCCTAGCCACTAAGCGGCGGAGACTGAGGTCTGTTACTTCAGAAGCCGAGAGTGACCTCCACGGGGGCATCCCAGGTAGCAGATGGGCCAACAGCTGCTTTGCCCATTAAGATGTCCTGTTCTTGGCCTTTGCTTTTTTCTCCCCCCAGCAATCTGACTGCCGAGTTGGTCTGCGTGCAGAGGTGGAAGCCACCTCCGCTGCAGTTTCCCCATGACTCAGGCAGTGTGTGTAGGGACAGTGGCAGCTCTAAAGACCTCAGTTGGAAGAATGAGTGCAAGGAAACAGACTCAGGCCAAAGACCTCCCTGGAGAAACCAGGTGGTGGGAGGAGAAGGCTGGGAAAGGAGGAAGTTCAATTCCAGGAGGGGACAAGCGGTGCCAAATGGGTTAGTGTGGAAGACGTTAGCTCCAGCCCCGTGTGTGCCAGCACAGCTCTGAGTGGCCTTTGGAAAGAGTGGGGAGTGACAGCCCCACAGGCAACCAAGGATTCTGGGCCATCCCCAGAATGACGTGGTTGCGATAATAACAAAACAAGAGCATGGCACAGATGCAAGCTGCAGCCCCAAAAATCAGAGGAACCAGGTCACTTGGATGCCCATCTTCCTCCCAGTCCCATCCATGAATCTGAGAAATTGCAAGAATCCAAAAACTTCACAGTACCCAATCACTCCAGTATCTATGAATGTAAATGTTCATAGACCCATAGCAAAAGGCAGAGCTGCTTCTGTGATCTGACCACCTTTCTAAGCCCCATACTCAGGATCTTTCCAGTCCCACACCTGGGGTCTCCAGACGCTCTTTACCAAGCTCACACCACTTGCACACCGCCAGGGACAGAAGCTGGAGCGCTACCGTTAAGTGTGGTCATTGGAAGTTTCAGCGTCTGACTAGATTGCCTGCTCTGAATAGACTGGAATCCCCTCAGGTAAAAGGCGGGCCAGCACAGGAGGGTATGGGAGAAGCAGCAACAAAGGACGGAATGCTCCCGGTACTTGAGTCTGTCCTTTCCATTTCAACCACAAAATATCCCAAATGATTCCCTCCATCCCAATCCAGGTTTTCCAGGCCCAGGACAGAGGATAACTCAACATGCCCAGAGGAAACGAAGCCAGGCTCTGAACTGGGATGCTTGCATCACCTTCCAGTTTTACAAGAAGAGAAGAGAAGCCTGCGAAGAGATATCTGAAAGGATTTAGACGCCCGGGTTGAATAGGGGCGGACCTTTCCCGACCCCTCCAACACCATCCTCAGAGCGCCTCCTATCTGCCGCGGAGACACACTGCGGCTCCGGGGCGGCAACTTCCTGGGTTCCGGCCCCTCGGCGCCTGATCGAGGAGGCGCTGATTGGCCACGCCGGGCCAACACCTTCTGAAGTAGCGGGCGTTCCTCCGACCGCCCACGTGCATCCAGATGCCCTAGAGCCGAAGTTCCTCGGAGCCTAAGAGCGGCCTGTCCCTGGAAGATCCAAAGTGGGAGTCGGAAGAGATCAATGAAATTTTAACCCGGGGTCACTTGTTTGGCACAAAGGGCATTTGGAGAGCTAAGGGAGGTGACCCTAAGAAAATGGGGCTATTGGGGTCCAAAGAGATGACAGATCAACTCACCTGCCTGGTGAAGAGGATGGCCGTGTCCCAGTACTCTGGGTGTTTGTCACTCACTTTATTGAGCTTCTTCTGCCAGGCGCAGAAGTTGCGCAGCGTCAAGGCCGCGTTGCCCGTGACCTTGGGCCCTGTGTCGCGGTCTCCGAGAAGCAGCACCTTGACCACGACGATGTTGATGAGGTTGAGGATGCTAGGATGGCGGTAGAGTCGTGCCGCCGTGGCCAGCAGCGTCAGCAGATAATGCTCCAGGTCCGCGCCGTGGAACTTGACCATTGACTCGTCCGCCACCACCAGTGTCTCCACGTACCGCGGGATAGACACGAAGCGCTTGGAGCGCCCGGACCTCCGCCGACTGCGACTCTCTCCCAAGCCGGTCCCCCGCGGCTTGTAAGGGTCCAGCGCCCGCAGAATGGCGGGGTTCCAGCCTGAGGCCACCCCGCAGCGAGAGGTGGGATCTCCGGGAGGCCCGCCGGGGGCGCCGCGGCGCTGGAGGAGGTGTGCGCCCTGGCTGTTGCGCTGTGCCGCCTGCGCGCTGGCGTTGGGGAGCGGACTAATGACATACTCCGCGCCTCTGTAACCAAAAGCTCCGCGTAGACCTCCGCACAGGCTCATAGCGGCGAAAGAATCTGGCTCGGCGTTCACGTCCCCAGAGTAGAAGCAACGTCGCAAGTCTGGAGAGCTCCCGGTGAGTTCCGGGAGGCGGACGCCCAGATGTTCAGTGGCGAAGGCGGGCGCTAGGAACTGAGCATCCAGAGTCAGGTGTAGGTAAAAGTCCTCCTGAAATGCTGTGATCTGAAAAATGAGTCCCTGATCCCCGGAGTCTTCGGGACCCCTCCAGTAGTAGTGGCGGCCGTTGATGTCCGGGTCCAGTCGGATGGGGACCACCACCTCCTGATCTGGCTCTGACCCCCCAGCCGGTCCCCCGGCGAGAGCCAGGGTTAAGATACCCAGCAGAAGCATGGCGCCGGGCAGCGCACGGCCGCGCTCTCGGAAGGGCTCGGCCCGGCTTCCCGGCCGCCGGCGCGTCTCCTTCCAGCCGGCACACGGGAACCACCAACGCTCCGGGGCAGTCCGTAGCTCCCCGAAAGCAGAGCAAAGGGAGGGAGACTCCTCCCAGAGCAGTGAGCGTGCACCGAGCAGCCCGCGCCTCCTACCTGTGCCTTTCCAAGCAAAGCGCGCCCTGGGAGCTTAAGTACAATCGCTGTCAAGTGCAAGGACGGAGATTTGCAGCCGAGAGCTAGAGGGAGGTGCCGGGCCGCTTCTTCGAACGGCTGCCACTCGCGGCGCTGCTAATCAGGCGCTGGGCGAGCCTATTAAAGGCCCCCTCCTCTTTGGACTGCCCAGTCAGCGCCCCTCCCTCTCTCCCCTTCCAGCCTCCCAAAGCTTGCAGCCCCGAGCCTCCAGGGGCCCCCGGAGAACTCGGTCCCGCCTCCTGAACGGAGAGCCACTTGGCGGGGAGGGAGTGGCGTTGAGCTGAGGCAGGAGGCGTGGGCTGGCTAGAGAAACCAGCGCTTAGTATCTCGGTTCGCATTTTGCCCAACCATTATGCCCCAGTGCCCCCACTCATCAGTTACTTCTACCCCGACCGACATCTGTCTGCTCCCTGGGTCCAAGCCTTTCTCTCAAAGCAGTCAGGGTCAGGAGTTGGGAATTAAGACTCCCCACTGATACCCCTCTCCCAGGCCCGCCTCATCCACTCCCCCCCTTGCAACATCCCTGCTGTTTCTTCATTACAGTGTCCCCTAAAAGACCCAGAACCAAAGACCCCTAAAAGTCCCCTAAAAGACCCAGTCCCTGTAAAATGTCCTGTCGTTAGAAGGGCATATTCTCTGGAAGATGGAGAACCCTTCTCAAACCCAGGGCCCTGTAGGCCCACCGTCTGCCCTGGGGCAGTGGTGTGCTGAGTGGCTGGTGCAGAGTGTTGAATTTTCAGGGATTTGGGCAGTCAGTCCCTCCTCGTTCAGGGACATCACAACAGGAGCTTGAAACAGGTCCCAGTGGGAGTACTAACACCACCCAATGGGCAACTGCTATCACCCAGGGCTTGGGGAAGGAAAGAGAACCATCGGAGTAGCACCAATGTCTGGAGAGCATGTGGAGAAAGAGGTTGTCCTCCTGCCGGGGAGGTGCTGAGGGACTGGTGGGCAACAGGGAAATCTACCAGTACTTCCTCCAACAGTTTCTCTCATCCATCCCTTGACCAGGTGTCATGTAGGGAAGGGAAGGCTGAGTGTGGGCCATTGGGGACAAGACCATCAAGCCATGAGTTCCCATCTAGTTCTGAGGAGCCCTGTTTCAGGCACTGGTCCCCAAGACACTCTGTACCTCTCCATAAAACCCACTTCTCTCTTCTGACACAGAAGAAATACAAGTAGAGGAAGGAAGGTTTTCCTAGTCTCTCCTAATACCTAGAAAGTCTTCCCAGAACCAAAAGGCTCCACATTGAGTTTGCAAGAAGAGAGGACAGGACAGGGGCATATGCAATGATTTGAAGCATAAAGTGGGGTGGTGTGGAAGAAATTTGGAATTTTTTTAGTGAATGGCTGTAGTGAACAACTCTATTATTATAGGAAAGAGAAGGCTGCGACTGGTCTATCAGTCAAGAGCACTTTTTGCCCATTATCTTCTCCCCATAAAGGACCCACTCTTCCAAGAGCCCCATGGCAACTTGGAACAGGAAGACTGCTCAGATACCCATAATTCTCCTGGGCCCCTCTTTAATTGAGATGCACAAGGCTGAAACTCATTACGTGAATGAGAAGGAGATGGGTGTTTACGCCTATAATTAAAGGAAAATTCCGACAAACCAAGGGCAATCATAAGTCACTTATTTAGGGCAAACAATTGTTTTCCCACACCCAGCAGTTTTAATGATGGGTTATGAGGTGTCCAAAGATATTTTATGTTCACTGTGGTGGATGGGGTTTGGTAAGGACTGTGGCATGTCGATCAAGATGGCAGGCTCAGGGAGAGGAAGCCCTTCTCCACCTGTGTGTCTTGCTTCTCCTTCCCCAGTCATGGCACAGCTGTTCTCACCACTGGGCCCAGAAGCCAGCCATGTGGACTTTCTCAAAGACATGGACATGCATTGAGCACTTACCCTGTGCTGAGCCCCACACCAAGAATTTTATGTGCATTATCTTATTTCATGCTTGTCTCTCCCCAGTTGGAGGATGTAATTCTGTGCGATCACTTCTGCCAGGGGTTCCTAACCAGGATTTGAGTATCTAGGGATATGCTGAAGTAGATTACAAAGAGCATTCAAGCAGAAGTCAGAACTCAGCATCAACCCTCCATTTCCATCATTAATCTGATTCTCTGACTCTTAATTTTCTCATCTGTCAAAAGAGGAGGGATTGTCCTAAATCAGAGGTCTTCTCTCAGAGGACCGAATTAAAAATTTCTGGTCTATATGATATCTAAGATCACTTCCAGATCAAATATTACATGACTGTTTGAAACCTATGGAAGGCAACATTGCATGAGGATTGAGAGCCTAGGCTCAGAGGACCCAGATGAGCATCCTTGCTCCACCCATCTCAGTTGTGCAATCTTGGGGAAGTGACTGTACCTCCCTAAACCTCAGCTTCTTCATCATTACCATTAGGATAATAATACTACCCATCTCCTATAGTTACTACAAAGATTAAATAAGTTAATGCTTAAAAAGTGTTCAGACGTGCTTGGTACATAAGATATGTTTCTTGGGGCGCCTGCGTGGCTCAGTTGGTTGAGCATCTGACTCTTGGTTTCAGCTCAGGTCATGAACTTAGGGTCCTGGGATCGAGCCCCACATGGGCTCTGCACTCAGTGGGAAGTTGGCTTCCCTTCTCTCTCCCTCTGCCCCTCCCTCCGTTCATGCACTTTCTCTCTCTAAAATAAATAAATCTTTTTAAAAATGTTCCTTAAATGTTATCTAATAGTTAATATTCTCATTAGCCATTCTTATTATTAATATTAATATTATTACCAAGCCTTACTTGGCCCTCCAAAATGACCGCCAGCATCACCTTCCGGTGATGCTAACACCAGAAGTCTTCTGGTGATGCTAACAGGAAAGGGATGGAAGTGAATGGGAGCAACGTCTCCCAGCCCTGCTCCGAAATTTCCAAGGTCACGTTTGCCACCCCACTTCCATATTAGGACTCTGCTGCTGCCACCCACTTGCTTCTGCCTGTCCTCCACCATCTTAAGATCTTTGAGAAATAAAAAGCAACTCCTTCTCCAAAAGAAAGACTGGAGGCCTCACCATGCTGCCAAATCTAAATACCTCAGCTTGGCCAGTTATGCCCTTTGCCAACTAGGCAGACCTCTTCCTGTCCTTCCAGTCTCCACCCAAGTTTGCCACCTCTTCAAAGAGGCCTTCCTGGGCCACCCAACCTAAGAAACCCCAAATCATGACCATGATTCCATGTTTTATTTTCTCCATAGCATGTACTTCTACTTAAACCTATTTTATTCACTTGGATTTTCACTTTTTTATTGACTGTCCTCCCCCACACCCCAAGTAAAATGAAAGCAGGACCCTATCTGTCCCATTCACTGTTATCTCCCCCAGGGCCTGGCACGGTTCTTGGTAAATGGAAGCTGTCCATTCATAGTGAATGAAGAAATTGACTCAACCCTAATCCCAGCTTGGTCACTCACAGTCTATGAAACTCGGGATGAGATACTTCATCTCTGAAATGGGGATGGATAAGACTATCTTTTAGGAGAGTTTGGAGTGCCTGACACACTGCTCCCATAATTATTAACTCTCTTCACCTCTGATGGAGACCTTCGCCCAGTGCCCTAGTCAACTAACCCACTCATTTCCTGGTTGAGGCAGCTGAGGTCCAGAGGATAGTTACTTGTCTAAGGCTACCCGGTCAGCTGCTTTGCTCAGGTCATAAACTCGTTTCTTTTTACCCTTTACGTGAAAACCTGGCTCTAGCTAAATTAAATAGCTTGGCTTCTTCTGCCCAGAAGCTGTTGTTTCAACATGCATGGCTTCTTGTAAACCATACCTTCCATCTAGGATGTCCTCTCAGCCTCCCCGGTGCCTGCGTATTTCACTCTCACCTCCTCCAGGAAACCACGTAATTTAACTCACACAGCGCAGCTTTGCTCCTTGTTTCTCAATTCCTTCAGTGTATGCTTATTCCATTTCTAGCATAAGAATATTCTATTTGAACTTGCCCTTTTGCTAATTAAATATTAAACCCTTTTCCTGGACTGGACTATGGCTGCACAGGACTAGACTAGAAACTCACCAAAACCAGGGCTTCCTTTACTTTTATGTCAGCCTCCATGACAGTCCCCAGAATAGGCATTGACTGCTTGGCTGAGCCGGGTGCGTGCAGAAGGTTCTAGCTAGAAAATCAGCCCAAAAGGATGATGCATGGAGGCATCTACAGAGGAGGCAGGTACAACGTTTTAGTTTGGAGACTTAAACTTCACTTCTCTTAGATTGTGATTATTCAATGTGAGGACCTGCCTACCTGGAAAATCAAGCATCCTGGACTATCACCCCAAATGGGAGAAAAAAAATCAAGGAGAAAAGAGAGTGGGTAGGCAAGGAAATAAGAAATAAGCTCTGTGGTCTAGGCAATATTTTAATGGGGAGGGAAGTGACTGAAGGAAGTCTTCCCATTGCTCAAGTCAGATAGTATTAATTCATTACTTTACCATGTTAGGATTCAGATTAGGTTGTCACAGAAAATAGATTTAAGAACTTACCATTTTGTGCGCTTTATGTCTTCACCATTCTTTGTTAAAGATCTCTAAAAGTCCCAGATGTGTTTAAGTGTTCTTCATGGAAAATGTGCCACAGAGATAGGCAAAGCATACAACATCTAGAAAAGGTGCGGGTTCAAGGAAGCTTCTTGGAAGACTCAGGGAGCATTAAACCACTGAGCTGCATCATCCACTGGCTTCCACCAGTGCTGGATTCCTTGGCCAGTCTTCTCCCAGATGTGGAGACAGCTGAAGCAGCTGGAGATTCATCTGAGGCCCCATGAATTATAACCCTGGGCCTGGGTCCATTCTTCTTTGCACAGAGGAAATCTTTAACTCTATTTTTCCCCACTCAGCCACCCACTCTGATTTGTTCTCTGGGGCCAAGTATTTCATAGAAGGCCCTCTGGTACTTAAGTCCTGTATTTGTTCTCTTGGACACTAGGAGGTTAGAACAAAGGGTCCTGACTTAGCTTGGGGAAACTCATCAAATCATAGTTCCAGGTTGCCTCCTGCTTATACCCTGAATCCCCCCCGCCACCCCACCTTATACAGTTTTAAATAACAGCCACTACCCTTGGATCTCAGGCTTCCCAATTTAACAGTTCATTGTATAGATTTATACACAAACACACACTTAAATTACTTTGGATTTTTTGGCTATTGAGGATACAGCTTGCATTCAGGTTGGTGGAGGAGGAGTACCTAGAAGGGAGAAGAAATGAATACTAAATCCTCCACTCCTATCTGGGGATTTAGAGAGCAATTTTATCTGCCAAGCAATCTTCTATCCCCTTTGTTCCTCCCAGTATACCCTTTTCCCATCACCATCAGCATCCAGAATAGTAGCTTCAAGATGTGAGCTTGAACTTGAGCCTCAGGCCATGTACCACCTTCATTAGTAAAGCACCCCTTCTACCTTTCAGAATATTAGACAAGGCTCCAATATAAAATGCATCATTCCTCCCAGGTGGCTGTGTCTTCTTCCACCAGTGTGTTCTTCTTAATAAAAATACTTGAGGGGTGCCTAAGGGGCTCAGTTGGTTGAGCACAGAACTCTTGGTTTCAGCTCAGGTCATGATCTCAGGGTCAAGGGATCAAGCCCTGTGATGGGGTCTGCACTCAGCACGGAGTCTGCTTGAGATTCTCTCTCCCTGCACCTCCCAGCCCACAAATAAATAAATAAATCTCGGGGTGTCTGGGTGGCTCAGTCGGTTAAGCTTCCAACTCTTGATTTCGGCTCAGGTCATGACCTTGGAGTCGTGAGATGGGGCCCCGGGGCAGGCTACGCGATAAGCATGGAGCCTGCTTAGGATTCTCTTTCTCCCTCTCCCTCTGCCCCTCCCCCTGCTCGTGCCCTCTCTCTCTCTCTTTCTTTCTCTCTCTCCTTCTCTCTCTCAAAAATAAGTAAATAAATAATAAAATTAAATAAATAAATCTTTTAAAAAATTAAAATACTTGACATATACAAAAGAGTACGTGATTTATAAAATGAGTTCCTATATATTGTCTGACTTTATCCTCACAGAAACACTTGGGGAGGGAGAATGGTGGGACAAGAATTATTAACATTTCCACTTTAGGCAAGTAAAACTAAGACTTAAAGGGTATAGGGAAATAGGCAAAGGTCATCTGGTTAGTGAGTAGCAAAAGGAAAACTGAAACACTCAGCTGGTATTAAGTCCCAGCCCAGCCTGTTTATTCTATACCTCACTCAACTGCCTCTCTTCCAGCAACACCTGCCCTCTGCGTGTGTGCACAGGACCCTCCTCACTCCCATCGTGGGCACAACCCTCCTGTCCCGTCATACACTCCCACCACGCACAGTTCTCACCTCATCTTCCTTCCGTATACACACTCCTCACACTCCTGGAATGCATGTTCACAAGCTAATTTAAATAGGATTTATAAGAACACAACAACTTGCCTGGAAGCCGAGCCCTACTCTGGATCAACAATTAACTTGATGGCCCCAGTATGGCTGGTCTACTGTCTTTGGAGCCTTTACAAAAAGCCACAGAGAACACTCATAACAGAGGAGTATTATTTAATTTGTCTTACGAGAACATTTTTTTTTCTGTTGTATTCATTTTCACTTCCTCCCCTCCACCCTATGGCACTAAGGGGACTCTACTCAATGGAAGTCAGCAGAGATCACAGTTTGCTCTAATGTGATTTTTAACCATTTGGTGGTTGTGGAGAGGTCATAAATAGTGTGAAACCTCATCCCTGAAAAATACCCAGGCATGTCCACACACTCAAAATTTGGCCCATAACTTTGGGATATTTGTACTCTCAGAAGCCCATTCCCCAGCCCCTGAACTGTGCCAAGCAAGTCCTGCCCACACCCAAACAGGAAGAAGCCTCTCCTCATACACGCTGTTAAAATACTTTAAAACCAGATATAGCTGCTCCAGGACCTGAGCCTAAAACACCAGCCCTTATATGACTGAGAGATCAGGAGCATGAAACAGTCAAGCCGACTGCCCAAAATTGCAGATCTTCAAGCCAGGGCTCAGCCCCAGCTCTGTTTGATGTTGGGTTATTTGGGGATCCTAGTTAAATGACCCAGTCTCTGGGAACTTTGAATTCCTCACTCATGAAAGAGCAAGAATATTCTTACTATCATCAGTAACAACACAATGAGCCCACAGAGTAAGTAACATTATTTGGGACTCTTGTAATTAGAAAGTATGATACAGTTCTCACTTCCGGAGTTTGCAATTTATTTGATTTGTTCTGCAAAAAAAAAAAAAAAAAAAGAGGTGAGCTGCAGGCTCTTGCTCTCTTCATGTAGGTAAAATTAGGGGGTAGGCACATAGCCTGTGGAAACCCAGGGCAGCCAACCCTTCCTGTTGGCACCGTGCTCCTCCACTCTTGTCTCCTCCAAGCATTCTTGCCCCATCCCCTCCACCTGCTACACTCCCTGTCTTCCCCACCCCACCCCAGCCCCCACCCTGCTTTCCACCCTCTCTCTAATTCTTCTCATATATCTTCACCTCCTTTCCTCAAAATTTGTTGCTGCCTGCGTCTTAATTTACACTCAGGTGAAAATAACAGGTAACAGCTTTAAAAATGCTTCCCATTCACATATATTTACACTTTAAAAGCATCAGAGTCTTTTTCAAAACACAGTTCTGATGGTGAAATTTCACCAATGTTAACAAGATGTTAACAAGGCAGGGCCTTGAAGTGGGGTGGAGGGAGAAAGGAGTCTCACAAAGACCTTCCCAGGCAAGGTCACCATTAAAGTTTTGAGGGTTGTACATAGCCCAGCACTAGGGGGCACAATTCTCATAAACAAGAAACAAACCACCTGCACAGCACAGGATTCCATCTCTCCACCCTGCTCTCACCCATCACACTTCTTACTGGACCCAACAGGTTGGGAGGGAGGGTTCTTACTAAATCTCCCAGGATGGGAGGACTTCCACTTAGAAGCTACTGCCCTCAAATTTTTTATCTGGCTTCGCATTTACAAATGCTTTGTGGAATTCCTACCTCATCTCTCCCTATCTCTTATTAACCTAGTCAATGCACATTGCCTCATGTCAGGCTTCGTGCCTCTGTTTCACTCTGGACGTGAAGTGAGTAGGCAACAGGTAACGAGCAATGGATATCATCATGGACAGCTCCCTCACCAAGGTGAGAACAGTGAGCCCAGAGCAGCAGAGAAGACTTCATCGGAGAGTCCACAACCTTAATATGCATGAGGCTTGTAGGTGTCAGTTTTCTCTGATCCTCAAGAACATCAGAAATTAAAGGGCAAAAAACTCTGGTATTTAACTACAGAAGAACATAAAACCAGACCTTGACCCAGATCAGTGGGAAAAGAAAAGCTGCTTTGGGCTCTCCTGGCTCAGACCCACCTCCCACCTGAGTGTGGATCCCAAAGCAGAGCCCAAGGCAACCAGCAGACCCCACTCTTCTCCCACCTTGGGTTCCAATGCTCTGCTGAGAAGCCAGACATTATCTCCTTATGAAGGTTTGCTGTTCTTTGCCTGCCCTTGCTTCCTCCTTCCTGCACCTCCATGCAGCCTCCCTCATCACTGTTGACATCACCGAGAGGTGATCGGACATGGTAATGTCACTTCCTAGCCAACCTGACAGGAGCAGCCCAGCAACTTGTCCAATACTTTCAAGCTGTGGTTGATGAGACCCCAAGCATCAAGTTACTCCAAGTAAAGATTTCTCCCTTTCTCCCTTCTTTCTCTCCCAGCTACCCAGGAACCTCCTCCTTCCCCTCAGAACATCCCATCCTGGCATTTTGAATCCGCCAACAGACCAGCTGGAAAACACTTGCAGACTACAGAGCTCCACTGGGTGGAAATCACTGCCTTTCATAAAGGAAAATCAAGAGTGCTTATTGTGTCTGGAAGGGGCCCAGATGTGGGAGAAGAGAAAACAAGATCAGTGATTGGACAGGCAGATTTCATTTCTGCTCTTGGAAGTGTGAAAAGAGAAAAGTGGAGGAATGGAGAAACTGAAAAGAAGAGTAGAAATTTAAAAGAAAACCCCTCATTTCACCTATATTTATCCAGCAGAGTGCAGTATTCTTACTCACAGCTTCCACTACCCATCTCGGCATTTGACTCCCAATGACAATTCCTAGTCCCCATCACTGCTGAGCTTCTGTGACATCCCAGTGAGTCCCCAACAGGCCCAAAACTAATTAGTCCCTCTTCTGCACATGCCCTACACAACATACACGTACGCACATACCTTCTTCCTGTTTTCCCTAACTTGGCCAATGGCATCTCTATCCACCTCACCCCTCAGCTAGTCAGCCTTCTTTTCTCCCACCCTGGCCTCTGCACCCACCCTACCACATCTCCAAACAGGCAAACTCAAAGAGGTCCCAGTGTATTCCTCTCCATCACCACCACCACTTCATTAGCCCAGGCCCACACCATCTCTGGAAAGCTTGTCCTGACAGGTCCCCATCTTCCCGATCCCTCTCTTCACGTAGTCCTCAGTCTACATAATTGCTAAAGCTGTCCTTCTAAAAGACAAAAGCAGTCATGTTACTTCGCTGCTTAAGTCTTTAGGGAGTCTTCATCGCCCTCTGAAAGCTAGCTCTCGGCACCCAGGGGGACAAACACACACCCTCACACGTGGGTCCAGCTGACTCTTCCAGCTTCATTGCCTACCACTCCCGGGCAGCACCTTACACTCCAAACCTGCAAGACTCACTTTCCCAAATGCAAAAGTTTGTGTGTGTGTGTGTGTGTGTGTGTGTGTGTGTGTGTGTGTGTTTAGAGAAGAGAGCATGGCTTAAAGCTCGGCCGCCATCATAAACAACACAGTAGCTATCCAGACCAGGAAGTTCATGACCAACTGACTACTTCAGCAGAAACAAATGGTCATTGGTGTTCATCACCCTGGAAAGGCAACAGTACCTAAGACAGAAATTTGGGGAAAACTAGCCGAAATGTCCAAGCCCACCCAGATGTCATCTTTGTATTTGGATTCAGAACCCATTTTGGTTGTGGCAAGACACCTGGCCCTGGCATGATTTAGGATTCCTGCCATATGCGATGAAAAATGAACCCCAACATAGACTTGCAAGACATGGCCTATATGAGAAGAAAAACACGTCAAGAAAACAGTGAAAAGAGTACAAGAACAGAATGAAGAAAGTCAGAGGGACTGCAAAAGCCAATGTGGGTGCTGGCAAAAAGTGAGCCGGAGATTGGATAACAGAAGGACTAAAGGTTCTGTAGGGACTTTATCTGTGGTGATTGTGCAGATTTTTTCATGAGAGGATTAATAAACTAAGAACTTTAAAAGAGAGAAAGAGCATGGCTGTGAGTGGGTGATAGATGTCACACAAACCCTATGAGCTCAGGCTCTGCTCTGCAGGGGAACAGTGGGATTAGATGTGACACCTGGGCTGAGAACACTGGGCTGAGAATCCACATTCCCCTGAATCTCTGGGAAAATGACTTTGTCACAGATCTCAATTTCCACATCTGTAAAGTGAGAAGTTAATTAATGTCTGTGTCCCTTCAAAATCCTGTAGTGCCAATGAATTTGATGAGACTCCAGACAGAGCAGACTGCAAGGAAGAATGTTTTAGAAAGGAAGGAAGGAAGAAAAAGGAAGGAAGGGAGGAAGGAAGGAAAAGAAAGAAAGGAAGGAAGAAAAAGGAAGGAAGGGAGGAAGGAAGGAA